GTGAACCACACCAGCTACGATCTAGCTACAGTATTTTTATGTAAATAAACATTCCAACAAATTTCCAGTTTGGAGCTGCCTTGACAGGTCACATCAATGGCATGGCCTCTACCCGCATGTGCCGGGCTCCTCAAAAGCCTGGGCGGTCAGGCGCTGGGCGGCATCCATCCAGCCAACTTCTTGGCAAGATACCACCTGAGCAAGCCCAAAAATGGTTTGGTCTAGTCCAGTCCAGCTAGGAGAGGCAAAGGTGGTGGTCATGTATCATAAGTCTTGGACGCCGAGAGCGCTCCACCATACTTTGCAAAGGACAATGAAACCCCTTCAGCATTGTTTACCTCAGGTCATGAGCTACAATTCAATCACAGAACACAGATCATTATTGGGGCTTTATTGCAATGCCATCAAACCAGGTTACATTGCATGTGGTGTTGCACTCCTGGTTCACAGCAGCAAGGCGATTCGCGTGGACTGGTCTCACATAGTATGATTTTGCATACAGCCTTGGACCAGGGCTATAGCTAGAGTTCCAAGCCGGGAACGGATTATTCGAGTGACCTTCAAAAGAAGCACAAAGATCGAACTGTTCTTTCAGTTATGTGGGTAAATATATCTAGGCTTCTTGCAGAACCCCAATGGGTGCAATTGCATAGCCATCGAAGTACTTGTCCAGATACTCTTTCGGCATGTACAGCGTGAAGGACCTGAGAATAGATATAAAATAGTGCATGCGCATGTGAAGGCATGTGCACATGTACACATGTATGCTCAATCTCTCACGTATATATATCGTTCCATCATTCACATCCAATGGAGAGAACAGTATATGCATGCTAGTAGCTTCTTAAGCTTGCCATCTGGGCGATCAGTGCGAAGATAGGCTTCAATCTCCTTACCATCAGGCAGTTTGAAGAAATCTGGATCACGCAGAGCTACCTCCTGGATGAGCTTCATTTCCTGCTCCTTAGCCACAGCAAGAGTCATCTAGAGACTTAATAGTGAACTCATGATCAGGTAGTATAGCATAGCTAATATAGTACATTAATCCAGCTAAGTTTCCAAAGACGCATTGTCTCCTTCCAACGGGATCACCTCCTTGGGCTCATTCACCTCTGGCTGCTCTGGCTTTTGGCGTCGCTTGGCCCGCTTCTTTGGCTCAGCTTTGGCGGCTGGTTTCCCATCCTCCTCAGCACATTCTTCAAATTCTTGATTCAGCCTGCGAGCGGTCGGCTTCTTCCCATTTCTGGATGTCGATGCCCTTTCTCCCTTCTCCAAGGCCGCTTTGGTCCTCTTTGACGGAAGGCTTTCAGCAGCCCCTGGTTCCACTGTACGCTTCCGTGGGCTCCACCTTTCAAGTGAAGCTTTCATCTGGCGAACCTTCTCTGGGGCAAGCTTTGGCGGGGTAGTCGACAGTTTTGGATCAGCCTCATCTGGATCATTGTTCTCCTCAGCCTTTTCACCTCGACTTTTCCTGGGCCGCCCTCTGGAAGTCGTAGCCTTGGGCTGCGCTTTTGCTTTTGCAGCCCGTCCACGCCCCTTTCCACGCCCTTTGCCTCTACCTCGGCCTCTGCCGGCCGCTTTGGCCTCGTCACTGTCCTCCTCTTCCCGCGCAGCCCTGTCTGGGTCCTCATGATCTGCATCTGCACCCTCCATCTCCCTCGCAACTGCACGCATCTTCTTCTGGGCCTGGCATGGTTTTCAGTTTCAGCATGTTTCAACGTGCAGGCAGACCATGACCAGAACTTTGCATGCAGTTCATTTGTTTCTTGAAGCAGCTTGCCTCCAGCAGGTCAGCTGCCTCACATGGAAGACCCCGAGTTTTGAAGAGCTCCTTCATCAGCACCACACACTTGTCCACAATCTTCTCATTGTGAGATGGCTCCGATTCACGCAAAGGTTTCCGGTCCTGCCAAGATTCAGATGAGTGAGGTCGATCAATAGTAGTTCGATCGAGATAATGTCAATGCCAATGATCAAGTGTGAACATTGATTTGAAACATATACATCACATGCCCCCTCCTTAAAGGTTCCTTTTGCCTCACGCTCACCTTCACCCTCATCTGACTCTACGACCTCCACGTCCTCTGGCTCTTCCTTGGCACGCTCTTCCTTGGCACGCCTCTCACTTTCTGGCCCAGTTGCCGTGGTCGTCGTCGGATCTGACCCAGCCTCATCTGGTGTTTGCTCACTGGACTCCTCAGCCACCGGCACCGAGCCTTCTTGCTTTTCAGGCACCTCCTCCTCACCAACTGGCTCCAATGGCGGCAGAGGCTCCTCAGCAAACATCTCCTCAGGGATCTGGCTGTCGGTCCAAAAGGCCGGATCCTCCGGCACCACATCCGGCTTCTCTGTCGCAACAACAGTGGTGACCTGATCAAGAGCCTCGGAGATCTCCACCTCATCATCAACCTCCTCGATCTCTTCTTCTGGCGTCTCCATTGGCACCTCTATGGATCCAAGCTCCATGGGCAAGGTCTCTATGTTGTCCAAGAAGCCCACAGGAACATCATTCTCCCCTGCCGAGAAATCATATTTACTACTCATGAAAAAAAGGTTGATCAGCAGAAAGATTCACAAAGGAAGGTGACCACGTGAGACATGACTGGTGGCACAGGATTCACCATTCTTCTGCCTGGAGCATGTTCTGGGACATCTTCACCATGTTCAGCATTGCCAGGATCCGGGTCCTGGGAAGCATTTGATCTCATAAGTTCGACTTGAAATATATATATTTTTTTGTTGGAGCTCCATTTGAATGCGCATGCATGCGTGCATGCATGCATGTGGTCCTCTAATTTGGACGCGCTGGGACCCCTGGTGGCACGCTTCTTCCCTTCTGCTGTGAGCATGCCCTCGGCCTACCAGCCAGTGGGGGAACACGTGTGACAGTGTGCACGCACATCTCTATCAACCACTGAATGCTTGCCCATGCACCACGCCTCCAACTTCTGTCTGATGACCTCCTTGATTTGGTGCATCTTGCTTTTGGTCGACCTGATATTGATTTGATGCACAAAATCTCCCCCCTCAAAAGGCGTGCGTGTTAAATTCTGAGTTCATTCGCATACAAAATTATTTGATCTGTTTGATTAATAAGTTTCGTGAGTTGAGACTCTTGCCGGGCAGAGGGATTCTTCTGGAATCGAAGAAGCGCATAGCTCATAAAGGATTTCTGCAAGCCTGCCTCAACAGAGGCCCAAGCCTGGACATGCAGATCGATTGAATTGCTTTTGGAAACTTTTGGAATTCACTGCATGCATTCCAAACCTGCTGTGACATCATATTGTTCCAAACCCAATTCCACTCGGTACTACATGTAGTACGTATCTTGTAACCAAGTGACAACATGGGCTGCATGATTGTCAAATTTGTTGAGCGCGAAGTGCTCCGATACCCACGTAAGAGCTGCCTGAGGTGTCACTGCAGGGCTTATTTAAGGGCTGGCAAATTAGGAGGCATCGTCAACATACATGGTTCCGCATGATATGATGCAGATAAGTGCAACCCTGCAGTGGCCAGCCTTCATCTCGGACTCGTTTGGGAGAGAGTGGGCAAAGCCAGCCAGGAAGTTGATGACAAACGCCGAGTTATCTTCATGCTCCAACTGGAGGACAGGAATTGAGTGGGATGTTGGGATGGAACGTGCCGTGTTTTATGCACATGCCCATGCGTGCTATAGTAGGCGCCTCTGATTCCTGAACCCCCCTCCTTCTTGGAGCACCGCAAAATGAAGGTAAAGCTCGGGACCTAACACGATGAAACAACCCATGAAATCCTCAGCCTCCATGATATGGGATGAAGCTAGGATCAGTGACCACCAATTGCCAAGTTCAGCCTAGATACCACTGGATCCTTCTCAGAGAGTTTCTTCCTTTGCCTCAAGAGTGTGCGCCTCTGGCGCACAAAGTCCGTATCTTCAGCCCATTCCTGGTAGAATGCCTGTGAAAGGCTGCATGCAGGAGATTGTACAAACAATTTAGCCGTACGTAAACATGACAGAACAAAATATGCATATGTCCCAAACCTCAACCATCCCAAGCCCTGCCAAATCAATTGCCTTCAGGAGGTTCACGCGCTGTTCACTGCACTGAGCCATCCCAGCACAAAGAAAGCCGAAAAAAAAGCGCACACACCCTCTGCACTGGAGCCGGGCAGAAGGCAGAAGGGGAGACCAAATTCAGTGCATATCAAAAATAGAACTCCAGATTCTCTTGACAAAAAATTGGGATCAGTTCTATGGGCTATATAGTAGAGTCCCAAAACGATTTTGTCAAGAGGAGAACTGGACACAGGTCAACATACCATGGACCAAGCCTGAGTTGACATCATATCCTCCCAATCGCTCATCTTCGTTGTCCTCATGGAGTCCTTGGCCAAGGACCACAATGAGGGTACCCTCAACTAGAAGGGGAATGATCCAAGGACCCCGCTCTTCAACAGAGCTCTGCGCATCGACATCGCCACCACACCTTACAGGGATTCACGGGGAACTCGAGACCAGTGGGAAGTCTAATTGGAATTCCATTGATCCATGGATTGAATTGCACATAAATGAGTTCCCTACCCAAAAATCATCTTGAGCTCCACAATCTCGACGCCCATGAGGACACGATGGATCCAGGATGGATCAGAATGAGATGCGGAGACATGGAATATACCTTATGACTAGTCTTGATCTTATCACCCACAGGATTGATATAGGATGATGGCAAGCTTTCTTGGAAGGTACACTGAGCACAGTTTTGTGCCACTTTGGGCACATAAGCTTAAGAAGCAAATCAACGTCTTCCAACATACCCAAGAACACCCAAGAAAAACGTCGGTTGTTAGGATATAACGGTCGAGTAACAACAGCCTCTCAAATAACGGTCGAGGACCGCTAGGGTGGAGGCCATCGCTAGTAGGTTGGAGGCCATCGCTAGTAGGTCGGAGGCCTTACGATCTCTTCATTTTGAAGAAGTTGAGACAAAGATGTCGTTGGGGAGCTCGGCCGGGCGAAGGCGGAGCTGAAGGACGTGAAAGAGGAAGCGAAGGCGCTCCGCCTGAGTTGACTCAGTTCGATGTTCGTGCCCAAACCATCGAACTGGCGGCTTTGGATGCTCAGTTCGATGGTTCGTTCCTTTGTGGTGAACGCCTGAAAGATGGCAGAACTCACCGGACTCTTCGTACCTGAGCCGCCACGTTCTTTGTGGCGCCCGCGTTCGACCGGTCCTCCCTAGCGATCCGAAGGGACCGCGCCGGGGGGTCCCAGAGATCGGTCGAAAGCGCCGGACGCGGCGACGCCTGAAGGGGTTGGTCCGCACCACTCCCATCGATTGATCATGGTATGCAAAGTCCCGGTCGATGAGGAGTTGACGATAAATTCGATAAATGATGATGATGATGATGACGAGGATGAGGATGATGAGGATGATGCTATGTCAAGAGCCCTTCTTGAAGCTATACTGCCTTGTCTTCCTGTCCGTTGCTGCACGACCAGGAGGTCAACTGGAAGGAAGACAACCGCAGCCAGGGGCCAACAGTGTTCATGATTGAAAAATAGGATAAACACTAGTAGAATAAGTAGACAGCTCATAAGGACTGTAAAGATAAGTTCCTTCTTCTTTAGAACTCATCTACTTATAACTGATAACTGCTGCATATGTAGACAAGTTCCGCGCAATTATGTCTTAAAAACACCCAGTATAACTTATGATACACTCATCTACTTACGACCGAACTCAGCAACTTATATATATATAACCTAAGTTACGCGTTCTTAAACCACACTTCAAGTTCATAACTTCCTTTGTGCGTTCGAAGCCAGGTCGGTGGCTCTCGATATATCTTTGCCACCCCGAATGGGCGGCTCGGAAGTTGCGTTTCTCTTCTCTGCTTTTTCCACCTTCCTAGTTTCAAACACACTGTTCCGTAGTGGAACACAGGGTGGCTCACAATTGTTAAACTATACATGCTTTTGTCAACTTACCGCCATTCAGTTCACCAGCCAGGGTCTAATCTGCAGTAAAATTCAGGGTTAATGCACACGGAGATCCACCCTGAATCTTGCTCCTTGGCGCTTTTTCTCAAGTGTGTGTGTGTGTGTGCGGTAAAATTTGATTGCGTTCCGCAGTTCACTAGCTAGGTTTGTTTGCATGAACGTATGCATGTTTTCACCGTGGGATATGCCATCATGTACCTGAAAGGTTTCTATGAACCTTGCACGCCCTGGGGCAGTTGTTCCACGGCAAGACATGTGCAACAAGAAGCAAAACTTCCCGTAAAACTTCCCGTACAGTTTCACAAGTTTCTCAACACTTTTTGTGAACATATGATTTAGGTTGAGGGCCATTGCTATTAGGTTGCAGGAAATCACTGTTAGGTTGGAGGCCAATGCTGTTAGGTTGGAGGCCATCGCTATTAAATTGGAGGCCATCGCTATTAAATTGGAGGCCATCGCTATTAGGTTGGAGGCCATCGCTATTGGGTTGGAGGCCATGGCTGTTTGGTTGGAGGCCATCGTTATTCGGTTGGAGGCCATCGCTATTACAGCGCTATTAGGTTGGAGGCCATCGCTATTGTGTTGGAGGCCGTTGCTATAAGGTTGAAGATGATTGATTATTTTTGGAACAATGCATTCTCAGGTTCATATGCCGGATTCTGGACGTTGAAAGTTGGAGCCAAGCCTGCACGACTTGGTCTCTACACCCGTTCCTCAGAGCTTCGTTGTTCTTTGGTTCCGTGTTTTCTTTGTGAACTGACAGGCTTTCGCACCAAGAAACTCGCACTGAACATGTGCCGGAAGCTGACTGAAAGAAATGATGTTTACGCTCGCGAACCTTGAAAGAGTCGCGGTGCCACATTTGAGTTTTGTGTACACATTGTGCACTTACGATTTTTCAATGGTGGGCGCACGTGACATGATGGCAAAACAACTCACCATCCCACCAGCTGAGGCACAGCGCGACCAAAAAAACGTCCGGAAGGAGGGGCACCACATGGCAACGTGAAATTGTCAAGACACTCTACAAGGCTGGTTGCACGCAAGGCCAATGCAAGGCTATACCTGGATTGATGACGTTAGAGGCGTTCTTGTAAAGTGCGTTTGTCTAATCCATTCTAATCCATGTTTTGCAACACAAACATCTACGACATGTTGACCAAACCGAAGATGTAGAGAAACATGTCGTGACAAATTGCAAATGATTCCACGTTGACAAATGGCCCGTTTTACGTTGAGTCCTCTTTGTTGCTTCCAACAATCCCAACAACGACAGCACAATCAAAGTGTCCATGTTCTTTGGTGCACAAAGCCACCATCTTCATCCCCCAGCCAAGCAAGGCATTGAGCGGAGACTTTCTGCGGCTCGTTTCACCAAATTCGATGCGTCTCTTGATTTGAGAATTCAGCTGGTTGAAACAGCCAATCATGTGGTTCTGCCTTGGGACAGCCACATGGGCACGGAAGAATCAAGTCTGTCCAACCTTCAGGACGTCATATGTCCTACCAGCCAGTGTGAATCACAAATTTGGGACTGGATTCAGGCGATTTCATCATAAACACTCAGCCAAGGCGGGTCCTCGACGATGAGCGAAGATGCGAAGTGGAAGAACCGAAGTCCAAAGAAGTGAAAGAAAGAACTCCACGTTTTCCTCGCATGTTTTTCCATTTGTAGGCCTGTCGGACATCCAAGGCCGCTCAAGGGACCTACTCAAGGGATGTTCTACTCAACCGCTCAAGTCAAACCATTGTCAAGCCCAAACCACCAAATCGGACGGCCATTCCTCGACGCGGTTCTGCTCTCAAGTGGAACACCAAGAGTTTCACATTCGCCCATGAGCCACCAACTCACGTTTGACTTCGCAAAGTTGTCATAGTCATAGGATGTCATAGGCCATTGTTGGTGTGTATGGCACATGCACATCACATGAGCTCATGGCAACCGTCCACGGTTTACAATCCGAATCTTCAGGCAACGTGCCCGAACGGAGCGGGACGGGTGGCAAGATTCGAGAATCTGTTGCGTTCGAAACACCAACCCTGACGAACGATGAGCATGGACTTGTGGTAAAGTTAAAGTGCAACCATGACAGCATCTGAGTTTACAGCACCTGACACATGTCCAATTTTGTCCTATCACGTCCAATGCCTTGGCACTTTCCCACGCGGTCCTTCTCGCATTGAAAGGTGCCTGTGTCAAAGCCCTGTGGCGGGATTTTTGCTTTCTTGGAGTCATCCTAGCATAAGTCATTGGTTCAGCAGCCACGTTCAGCAGTACATGTGACTGCCAGCTGTTCCCACACATGTCTTTTTGGGGGGGATTACTCGCTTTGCGTGGCAACACCCCAAGCAGGGAGCAGTTATATAATCCTTTGTGTTCTTTTCATTGTCCAATGATCCAATGGTCATGCTGGATGAACAGACCAGTATTGCCGCCTCAGTGAACAAAAACTGGAATGGGCAAGTGCGCAGAGGCATGGATATTACCAGACCAAAATGTGGCAGCAACGACGAACGTTGCTTTATTTCTGAATATGTCGTGTAGGCCAGTATGGCCGCAGTAACAAGAAATATAAGAAATGGCGAGTCACTTTTTGGGTGGTCAGGGTGGGTTGAGAAGTTTAAGTTTTTCTTTGGGTACCATTTTGGCTCAAGGCCAAGTGGGACCCTTCACCCTCCTGTTGAAGTTAGGTGGGGTGTTGGTTGGGGCGTTTGGCGCAGTGGATGGACTGCTGCAGGACTGGTCCACCCTGGACACTTGGGTGGGTTTGGTCGATGCGGCAACCTGGGGAGGGCTTGAGGCTGGACTAGTGAGGGCCGTGACCCGACAGCTTGGCGACGCCGAGTTAGAGTCACTACCCGTGTTAGGAGTGATCCCGACAGATGTCTTTGAGGCTGCTTTAGGAGATGCCAACAGGGGAGGACGCAGACTCTTTGACGGAGAAAGCCCAGTGGTGGTTGGTGCTGAGCGCAATTCGAGTCAAGTATGGGGCACCCTCGTTGTTTGCAGCAGCTTCTTCCCACGCACCGAAGACACCTGTCAGCGGAGGAGTGGCTGCAGGTTCAAGTGGGACGAAGCTCAAGCTAAAGATGAGTCAGATCATTGAGGGCACAATTTGTTGTGACAGAGGGGGACAACCCACTCGAGAAGGAGGAGGTGACAGATGGTCAATTGAGCTGCCTATACCACAAGCTGCAGTCTGGCCAACCTCCCTTTGTGGATATGGGAGTGTGGGGGACCACACGGACAGGATAGCCCATGCCATGCGATTCGTCTCACAGCAGTGGCGGGACGGGCAGTGGAAGGCAGTTGAATTGCCCGGAGCAGCCAACTTGGATGCATGGGAGGAGTCGTGGAGGATCTTTCGCACGGGGGCACTCATGCTACAGTTGGCCACAGCTGCCACGTTGGACAGGTACGCCTCGGAGTTCAGGACACGGGTGTTGCAACATCCTGGCGTCACGTTGAAGCACAGGCGGACATCAGATGCAGGACTGAGTTTTGGTCCCAGGAGAAGAGGAAGCAAGAGGCCTTCCACTCCACTCATCCAGCCTTGTTTGCATTCATCCCAGGTCAGCCATGGAACTCCGTGATCCGGGCAAGCGCATCACACTCCGAATTTTGGTCAAGAGAGTTCGAGAAACCGGCAATGCTCTATGTGATGAACTGATCGAAATCAGTGCCGGCCAGACCTCAAGGGTCCAATGAAGCCCCAGCCAAAGAAGAAAGTCGGTGGAGCCTTTGATCCACAACGGAAGGACGGCCAGTACTTCAGGAGCAAGGCTGGAATCAACATTTGCTACGCCTGGGCGGCAGACGGATGCTCCAATGATCGTTGCGACAAGGGGTTCGCTCACATTTGCGAGTGGTGCAGGGCGCCTCACAAGACGATAGACAGTCCACATAGCCCTGGATGGACCCCAGAGAAGAAAGATAAGAGCAAAGGAAAGGGCAAGGGCCGGGGAGGGGGAAACCCCTCCAAAAGGCAGAAGCACATGTGACTACCGAGCCCGTCAGTGGCTCCGAGCGCAGCTGAGGACGACATCGAAAGGAGGTTGACTTTGCTGCGGGAGCGGCTGAAACAGAGGGCAAGCAAAACAGAATTTGTTGCAAACAAGCGTGCGAGAACTTCACCTCCAGAGGAGTTTGAGGGTGAAACTGTGCAAGATCGTTGTTTTATGGAACTTTTCGCCGGAGAGGCTGGGCTCACACAAGCTGTCAGGAGGCAGAATACCAGGCGAGATCCGGGTTGGGGCCGTATTGCAGTGGGTACAGTCCTTTTGTGCAATGCAATCAAGTTGAGGAAAGTTAGATGGCTACACGCAGCTCCCCCATCCAAAACATTCTCCCGAGCAAGGAGAAGGGACAAGTATGCCAAGGCCAGACAACTCCGATCTGTGCAATGCCCGGATGGGATAGAGCCCAAGACCTGGCGGGTCAAAGAGGCCAATGTCCTGGCTTCAAGAGCAGCCCAACTTTCCCGCTTACAATGTGGGCGGTTGGTTCTCGCTTGAAAACCCAGAGAATGGTTGCATGGGCCAGTGAAGCGCTTGCTACAGCTGGAGGGGGTGCGACTCTTCAAAGGGGACCAGTGTGCCCATATGGGAGAGTTTGTCAAACCCACTGGATGGCTTAGTAACGCCAACTTCATGGAGATCGTCGAAAAGAGATGTCCTGGCCGGCCACTCCATCGCCATGAGCCGTCACGCTGGACTACCATGGCAATAAGGTGATTCAAGACGTCACTCGCGGCCGAGTACCCCCAAAAACTTTGCATTGAGTTGGCTAGGGCATATGCCCGAGAGCTCGAGACAGCAAAGCAGAGGCCAGACAGTTGGAAGTTGTGGTTCGAAGAGGATGCCAAAGTTAAGGATCTCTTTTCGAAGAAAACCCAGATTGAACGAGAGAATGAGATGTGTATTGGAGGCCTTCGCAATCCGTGGCACTCGACGCAAGAACTGCCCAAGTGGAGGAAGGTTGGAAGCGTTGTATGGAGATTGTTACAAGCGAGCTCGGGACAACTTGGAGAGCTCAACAACCCCGTGGCTTGGGTTGGGAGTGATCATGAAGGGCAGCCGGATCAGGAGATGAGCTGGTTGAGGAAGAAGGTGAGCAGTGTCTTTGGCTGTGAGGCCTATGAGCATGGGCTCTGGGGATCATTGCTGGAGAAGCAGTGCTCATGAGTGGCGACCCAGACAGTGAGGCTGCCAGCTGGCCAAGGAGGGGAACACCCGTGGGGATAGCCAATGAGATCCCAGAAGGCGGGGTCTTTCCAAAGGTGGACGATGAAACCACCTGGCAGGAGGGAGACAAGCTGGATTCTTTGGCAGAGCTCGAAGGGGCCCTAAACAACCACAAGTTGTATGAGGAGGAGCGAGAAGCTGCGGACGCCTTGTTCCAGAAGGAAGTCGACAAGGGCTTCGTGCATTGGGCCAAGGACAAAACAGACTTAGAGTATCTTAGAGTCAAGATATGGCTCGCTGGTGCCTTCAGCCATTGGTTACATCGCCAAGACCCGGCTGGACGGAACAGTTAAAGGGCGATTGGTGCAGACCTGAGACGCAGTCAGGTGAACAGTCACCTATCGCTGAAGGAGAGATTGGTGCTGCCAGAGGCTGAAGGATGCCATGGAGGACGCACTACACCTCCTGGAGACGAGGGCGCCCAACGAAAGAGTGATGTTCATGAGTTTTGATTTTTCTGACGCGTTCAAACACTTGACTCACTTGACTGTCAGGGAGAACGAATACAGGTACCTTTCTGGCAGAGCGTTGGGTGGCTATTTCGTCTACCGGACTGTGTTGTTTGGCATCAAGACAGGCCCATTAGTTTGGGGGAGGATGGCAGCATTGATTGCAAGATCAACACAAGCATTGTTTCATTCAAGCCGTTGTCGGTTACAGATTTTGTTGAAGACCCCTTGATTGTTGCAAGAGCTACTGATGGACAGTTGAACAGTATCTACAATGTTGTTTTGCTATGGTGGCTCACTCTGGGCCTGAAGGTGGCCTGGTCAAAGGGAGCCCTTGGGCCAGAAGCAGAGTGGATAGGCGCCAAACTAGTGGTCAATGACCGCGAAGGCTTCGTGAGGGTCATGGTGGCTGCATCGAAGCTCGAGGAGTGGAGAGTGCTCCTGGAACGATTGGACACGAGACCAGTGGTGGGACGAAAACCGTTGCAACAGTTCACTGGCAAGATGTCTTGGGCTGCAGGATTCATCGCAACTCAACCCTTCGTCCGGATGCTGTATGCCGCTATGGCATCCCAGCCTGGGAAGTTGCGAGGACAGGAGCAGGTTTATCACAAAATGAAGGTCTGGAGCGCACAGTCTACGCCCACAGCCGGCACCACTGCAGGCTGGACTTCCTGGTCGATGCGTCGCCTTGGGGAGGAGGAGCAGTGAGACTTAGGTCAGGCCAACCTACAGAAGTGTTCACACTCACCTGGACAGCTGCAGACGAAAAAAGGACGGGCGCAGTCACAGGAGACCCGGGCTCACAGGCCTTATGGGAGGCATACATGATGCTGCGATGCCTTTCGACTTGGGTGAAGCGTGAAGATCAGGGCTTCATCCGAATCCGAGGAGATGCGCAAGAAGTCTTGGCAGCGTTGGCGAAGAGGGCGGCAAAGTCGCCTTTGTTGAACGAGGTGACAAAAGAGGCAGCACTTCATCTTGCTGTCCACTTCGCTTCGTTGGAAGCGTTGCACCTGTGGAGCGAACAGAACGAATGGGCTGATGCCCTTTCCCGGGGCCAGATGCCCGTAGAACTATCTCACCTGCCGAGGGTGGAGCAAGCGCCTGAGCTGTGGCACGAGAAGAAAAGCAATGAGGGGGAGCGGTTGTTCTCACATTGCGGCATCTTGAAGGGGCCAACCGAGGGAGGTGGACCAGGAGGAAGGGGGGGGATCGGCAGAGACTCGTCGCCCGTATCATGAGATCAGCATTTGAAATGTCGCCCGTGTGCGAGGCTGCTGCACTGCCGAGTTGGGCAGCACCAGTGCGCCAGGGAGATGCCTGCAAGAGAGACAGTCATGCATTGCTGGCACATGTCGTGTCCGTTGCTTTCAGAGCGCTTTGAGTGACATGCAAGAGACAGTCAGTGCAGCGCTTGCCGTTTGTTTTGTGCATTCGCCGGTGTCGCAGTCGTGTATTTTGTGATGTATCCCTGCAGCCGTGTTCATGAAGCGGCTCACGCCCGACCTTCCCAGACACGAGGCCGGGGCCAGGTGGCCAGGGCTGCAGACGCAGCCCACAGGATCCGGCAACCCTCCACGAGCAGCGCCAGGGAGCGCACGGAATGTTGGGCTCATGCAGTATGTCACATGTATCACCTGCTCCAAGCAGGTGGAAGTTAAAGCTGCCATGAGTTGCCTGCTATGTGATGCAGGACCATGCCATCGTGCATGGCTGTCACACAGACCACCGTTGTCCCGAAATCCCTCCCGCCCGTGGAGGGGGGGAAGAAGCCCTGGAACAAGAGCAAGATGAAGCGCGAGATGAATGAAGGCCACTTTGGAGATCTTGTCCCAGTGGACCCGGGGCGAGAGACCGAGGCCTCGTCTCCACACCCAAACCGAGAGAGATCGGTGAAGCTGCAAGGTACGAGCAGGATCCCGCAGAGGGGCTCATTCTCCTCGACGTCAAGTCACGACCATTGCTGAGAAGGCAGCTCACTTTTCCTTTCGAGAAAACGGGGCGTGGTGGGTTCAGTGAGTTTTCCTTTCCGTTAACTGTTAAGCCATGCTTTTTTGAACCTAAACCTAAAAGATACGGGTATATATGATTTCAATTTTGTCCTTTCATGTCCAATGCAATTTGCACTTTCCCACGTGGTTTGCCATTAATTTATGAGGATATGTTCGCCATTATAAAGAATGAAATTGAAGTAATGAGGAATTTTAATGGGTAAATTATTAATATGGATTATAAAAAAGAATAGAGTTATTTTTATAAGGTCTAGTTGGTGAAGGCAATATATCCTATATACGAATAATAATTGGATTTATAGGGCTTTACGAATTGATTTTATAGATCGAGGAAAAATGGATATTGGTATTAATATAATATTAGGTTTTTATCGTGGAAATATGAAGTTCGATATGAAAACGATATTAAAGAAAATATTTTAATATATTTAATAAAAAGAAAACTATTAATATTATCGTAACGATTAATTTTTTAAAACAATTATGGAATAGAACGATCGTTCTTTTTGAATAAATTGGAGACGATATTTTTTCGATAAAATAATATAGTAAATTTAGATTCCGAAAAAGAAATTGGAAAGGGTAAGTTTGAAATGAAATTAAGAATGTTTAGGAAAATAAATTAAATTGATGGATTTATATATGTTGTATTTGTTGTTTGTTATATTATATTTAAATGAATATTTAAGAAATATTTAATTAAGAAATTTATTTCTTGTAAATGAGGAATTTTAGGGGTTTAAATATATAAATTATATATTTTTACCATTTAAAAAATGCTTTAATAAAAAAAAATATAGAATATGATGATTTTGAAATATTAATTAATATATGATATATTTATTTTGATACCTAGAGAACTAAGAATTCTTGAAAATACACGAGATTTTTAATGAAAACACGAGGTTTTTTGACTTTCTCAAAACGATACGATTGCTTACGGTTTTTATATGGGTTCGAAACTTAGTGCTTTTGGAAAAATGAGGTTTTCGACAGAAATACAATGTTTTTAGTAAAGTGGAGTCTAAACACGATATTTTCTATTAAACACGACAAATTCGTAGGTTTTGGATTTTATTGGTATTATTGGAATAAAAAAAGGCATTTGATGGTATATCGTTTTTTCGATGAATCGAAACATTGGAAATAATGAATGTTTGGACCCGAAATTCGGAGGATATTTATTTTTATCGTATTAAAATATATTGTTTATAATTATTATGATTAGGAATATTGATATTGATATATATAAAATTATTTTGATCCAATTAATTTCTCGGAGATTACTTTTATA